CTCGCAGGGAGGGAACCGTCAGAAGACCCTTGGCGCTGGACCTCAGTGAACAATGAGGGTGGAGACGCTCCTTCAGATATACTAAGCTGCGGCCGTTTAGGGCTTTAAAAGTCAGCACCAACACTTTGAATTGTGCTCGGAAACGTACTGGGAGCCAGTGTAGGTCTTTCAAGACTGGTGTTATGTGGTCCCGGCGGCCACTCCCAGTCACCAGTCTAGCTGCCGCATTCTGGATTAGTTGTAGTTTCCGGGTCACCTTCAAAGGTAGCCCCACATAGAGCGCATTGCAGTAGTCCAAGCGGGAGATAACCAGAGCATGCACCATTCTGGCGAGACAGTCTGCGGGTAGGAAGGGTCTCATCCTGCACACCAGATGGAGCTGGCAGACAGCTGCCCTGAACACAGAATTAACCTGCACCTCCATGGACAGCTGTGAGTCCAAAATGACTCCCAGGCTGCACACCTGGTCCTTCAGGGGCACAGCTGCCCCATTCAGGACCAGGGAGTCCTAACTAGAGGAACGCTTCTCGCCGGCGTTTGTGCTTGTGTCGTGTTGTACCACCCTGTGTGAAAGCTGCCTCCTTCGTCTACAAAACCTTTCTCACGCCCCTCTGCATTTCTCGCCTCTCCTAGGGAGATCGTCAGCATGAAAGAGAAGAGCAAATACAAGTTTGCGCCAGCTGTGGTGCCTCAGGAGTTCAACTCGTTTTTCCAAGGTAAATACTTCAGTTTCGCTCTCTCCCTACTCTCGCGGCCACTCAAGAATGGCAGTACCTTGGTTCTCAAGCTTAATCCGTTCCGGAAGTCCGTTCCAAAACCAAGGCATGCTCTCCCATGGAAAGTAATGCAAAACGGGTTAATCTGTTCCAGACTTTTAAAAACAGCAATTTAACATGAATTTTGCTGTCTAACGAGACCATTGATCCATAAAATGAAAGCAATAATCAATGGACTGTACTATAAAATAAATAAGACAGTATTGTAGATGATCAAAATTAATATATTTTTCTTACCTGCGCAGATGATAGTCATTGTTTGGATGGGAGGCTTTTGTCCATTTCTGCAGTCACACAATCAGTCAGTCGGTAGTGGAACTGGGTTCCACACAGCCACAAAAACAAACTAACGGAAAAAGCCTCAAAAACAAAATCGCAAAGTAGCAGAAACAAAAGCACCAAAGTTAATCGGTTCGGGAACTCCGTTTGACTTTCGAAATGTTCAAAAACCAAGGCGCAGCTTCTGATTGGTGCAGCTGCCCCAGAAACAATAGCTGACAGCTGCATCGGACGTTCAGCTTCCGAAAAACATTAAAAAACTGGAACACTTACTTTTGGGTTTTCGGAGTTTGAGAACCAAGGTGTTTGAGAACTAAAGCGTTTGAGAACCAAGGTACCACTGTTTCCCTGTTCACTGCCTGTCCCGCTGTCCATGCACAACTCATCTTAACACAACCGATCCAGGTGTTTGCAACACCGAAGTTTTCCTGATCCACTCATTCCGAGTTCTGTCGTGCCAGGGAAGAAACAAACCGGAAGTTGGCTTTTTGCGTTGTGTACAGACCAGGAAACAAACCACAAGTGTTGGTTTTATCAGGACAGCTTCTAAATTGATCTGTTGCACACATACACACAAGCCAGGAAAGCAGAGCCGGGCCCTTTCATGAGATTTTCCGCATTCATTTAAAAACAGCCACTGCTGAGCAAGTTCCTAGTCTTCATGGGCGATGGAAATTCCAGAAGAGAGACTAAGATTTCCAGGGATTGTGCAATGCAGCTTTGGTTGCCCTGTTTACCTCCCCCGCCCTTCCTGTGGTTAACAAAATCAGGGGGAAAATGTATGAAATAAGAGATCAAAGTTGCTGGTTCATACGAGGAACAAAATTCACAATATTCACTGGTTTGGTTTTTAAAAAAAATATTTTATTAAGGATTTTCTTGTTTTACAGAAGTAAGTGTAATGCCTCATTTTTTCCCCCCATGTAACATTTTTACAAATCCGTTTCATTTGTTGAGGCATTAGGGGGAGGAGGGAAGATGGATGGGGGTGGGGTCGGGTGGCGGTGTTTCTATTATGTTTAATGTATGTAGAGTTTGGTGTCAGCGTTGCTTGTGTTGTTCACTTGTGTTCCTTTGATGGTGAGAGAGGTTGGGGTTGGCCTAGGGTGTGATTGTTTGCTTGTGATCTTTGTTTTCGTGTGTGAGTGAGGTGGGTGGGTGTTTTGGATCAGGTTAGCCATATTGATTTGTATGCTGTTGGTGGATTATTGTCATTGTCCTGTTGGGCTGTGTATGTGATAAAGGGGAGCCATACCTGAAGGCGGCGTCTTCTGTTTGTCCCCGTGTCAGTTTCAGTTTATTAGTTAATTTTTCTAGTAGGGCTGTTTCCCATACTATTTGGTACCATTGGTCCATGCTTACTCCTGACAGGTCTCTCCAGTGTCACAATATTCACTGTTCACAAGAGTGTGATGGAGGCTGTGTGTTGTTTGGACAGGTAGCAACTCTTAAGGAGAATTGAGCTTCATGTTCACTTGTGTATAGTCATACCTCGGCTTATAGCTGCTTCAGGTTGCGTTTTTTCGGGTTACGGACTGCCGAAACCTGGAAGTACCGGAACGGGTTAATTCCGGGTTTCGGCGGTCGCGCATGCGCAGGAGCGCTAAATCGTGCTTTGCGCATGTGCAGAAGCCCCGAATTGCAACCCGCGCATGCGTAGATGCGGGTTGTGAACGTGAATCCCGCACGGATCACATTCACAACCCAAGCGGCCACTATACTGTAATGCCACAAAATAAAATGTAGTGTTTGCCTTGTGTGTCAATGTTCAGGTCATGACGACGAGCTTGTAAGGTAGATCAGTGTTCCCTACAACTTTCCTGCAAGGTAGACGCAGTGTGTGTGTTATGTACTGAAGTTCTCACCCTGGGCCAGCAGGGGGATACTGTAGATAGTTATGCAAATAAGGGATCGAAAGTGACGTTCAGTGATTGGATAGTTTTAGAAAATGGTTACAGTTACGTTGTACTGGAGCTCTAGCAGGCTGACTGAACCCTTCAGTTCAGTTCTGTTCTGGCCTGTGAATAAACAAGAGCTGTTTGGAGAATCGCTGTGTCGTATGATATGTTCACCCACAACTTAACAGTGTGTATGTGGGAGAGAGAGACTAAGAGTGTCTTGCCCAGGACCCCCCAAGTGAGCTCACGAAAGAGGTGAGACTCACATCTCATAAGACTCAAGACCAGGGGTCAGCAAACTTTTTCAGCAGGGGGCCGGTCCACTGCCCCTCAGACCTTGTGGGGGGCCAGACTATATATATGTTTTGGGGAGGGGATGAACAAATTCCTATGCCCCACTAGAAGGAGGAGGAGCACCAAGAAGAATGGATGAAATTTAAATAATATTTAGTTAAATATGCTAAGATAACTTAAATAGAATTATTTGTGAGTACCAAATAGGCCTAGAATTTAAATATATGGATAAAAGTCAATATGAAAAGAAAGAAAGATGTTAATAGGACTATGCAAATTTTATGTGAAATCAGTTTTGGAAAACTGCTACAATGATTTATATGGGGGGGACTCAAGGAAGTCACTTAACAATGTAACCAAAAATGGAATTTCTACAGTTAGAATATATGTTTGTTTGCTTGCTTGTTTTTTCTATTTGTTGATGTCCCCCCCCCCCCCTAATGTCTGTTGATGTGTTTGTTTTAAACTTGGAAAACCAATAAAAAAAAATTGGGGAAAGAAAATGAACGAATTCCTATGCCCCACAAATAACCCAGAGATGCATTTTAAATAAAAGGACACATTCTACTCATCTAAAAACACCAGGCAGGCCCCACAAATAACCCAGAGATGCATTTTAAATAAAAGGACACATTCTACTCATGTAAAAACACGCTGATTTCCGGACCGTCCGCAGGCCGGATTTAGAAGGCGATTGGGCCGGATCCGACCCCCGGGCCTTAGTTTGCCTACCCATGCTCAAGTGTGTTTCCAGTCTCTCCTCTGTGCCAGCTGCACACTGCAAAATCCACGAATGAAAACCTTGCAGAAAGTGGGGAAGCCAATGCAGATAAACAGCGATGCGATTTTTTAAAAGACATCTGACGGTGGTTCTGTTCGGGGACATTTTTAGTGCTTTAAACACCCCTTTTGCTTAAAAATAAACAGGTTCCGAGTCAACAGCCCCTTCTGCCCACAAACGACATTCCCAATTGCCTCTCTCCCAGTCAGCCTGTTTTCCAGAGTGCTGAGGACAACCCTCTTACGCCTGCCAATTTTTTTTAAGCGTGATTAAAGAGCAATTAATCTGCATTAAGTGACTTTCTTCTACCCTGGGAGACCAGATATCCCCACCAGTTTGCATGGTCAGCCTTTTCTCCTGCCAAGATATGTGTTAGATTCACATGTCAGCTTTAAGGTTTGCATCTATGCAAACTGAAAGAAAAATAAGTTCATTTATGAGTAACTATTTATTTTTATTTTTAAAAAAGCAAGGGAGATGTAATCCCCCCCGCCCCAATTCCAGGCATTTAAAGTGCCATTATCTCTCCCCTTCCCCGCCGATCTAAATTTAATTTATCTCCTTTGTTGCTTTTTATTTATCCTCTGGGCTGCTGAAGGGATCACAGTCAATAAATACTGGGCTGATCTCCGTGAGAAGGAAGGTCTGTGCCGCTGGTTTGTCAAGAGGCTCTTCTTCAAAAAGCATCAAATTAGTTCAGGGGAATGGATTTGCAGAAACTGTTGGCAGATTTCTGATTTTTTTATTTTTGTATCTATAAAAAACTCCCTAAGAGTTTTCAGGGGGGTTTTTTCCCCTTGCCAGGTGCCTGCAAACTGCAAGGCACTCACATCGACTGGCTTTGGCTGCCAGTGGGGGATTTCTCTGAGCTGTTTGGGTCGTTTTGGGTGCAGACGTGTGATTACAGAATCGTAGAGTTGAAAGAGACTGTGAGGGTCATCCAGTCCAACCCCCTGCAATCCAGGAATCTCTTGCCCAACCCGAGACTCAAACCCACAACCCTGAGATTAAGAGTCTCATGCTCTCCCGACTGAGCATGACCAACGCTTAACCCCGCTTGGTCCAAGAAGGTAGCAAGTTGCCTTATACCAGATCAGGCTATGGGTCCATCTTTCTAGCTAAGCCTCCGCTGACTACCAGCAGCTTTCCTGGGCTTCAGGCTAGAGGTCTTTCTCAGCCTATCGGGGATCGATCCTGCATTGCAGGGCATTGGACTAGATCAGGGGTCAGCAAACTTTTTCAGCAGGGGGCCGGCCCACTGTCCCTCAGACCTTGTGGGGGGCCGGACTATATTTTGTAAAAAATAGTGAACAAATTCCTATGCCCCACAAATAACCCAGAGGTGCATTTTAAATAAAAGGACACATTCTACTCATGTGAAAACAACAGGCAGGCCCCACAAATAACCCAGAAATGCATTTTAAATAAAAGGACACATTCTACTCATGTAAAAACATGCTGATTTCTGGACCATCTGCGGGCCGGATTGAGAAGGTGATTGGACCGGATCTGGCCCCGGGCCTGAGGTTGCCTACCCATGGACTAGATGACCCACTGGATCTCTTCCAGCTCTGCAGTTCTGCGACATTAACATTATTTCTTTAATCTCTTCTTCTATTTTGACTTTACTCTCCTTTCACTCTAATCATTTTCTGGATTCACTCAATATCTGCCAGAAATTCTACTTTTTCCACATAAATTTTGATGCATTCCTTAAAGATAGCCCATTCACTTTTTGTACCATATCTCCTCTTATCCTCCCTGTTAGTTTGGCAATATGGAAGTATTCCATCATTTTAGATAACCAGTCTGTTTTAGTTGGGACGCTGCTGCTTTTCCAATTTTTGGCAATCGATAACCTTGCCGCCCTAGTTGCATACATAAATATTGGTCTGACCGTTCCTTTTATTTCCTCTGACACGATACCTAGGAAAAAGGATTCTGGTTTTTCCCCCAAATGAAAATCTAAACATCTTTTTCAGTTCGTTATAGATATTATCCCAGAATCCCACGATCTCTTAGCACTCCCATCACATATGTAGAAAGGTTCCTGCCCCATTGTTGCATCTTCAACAGACATCACCACAGTTTTTATACATTTTTGCCAGTCTGACCGGTGTCAGCTACCATCTGTATTGCATTTTCATTACATTCTCTCTTAAAATTATAGCATGCCGTAAATTTGATACATCTTTTCCACAGCAGTTCCCATTGGCTCATCATAATATTTTCCCCTAAATCCTGGGCCCACTATACCATCACTGTCTTCCACACATATAGTATCAAAATAACTTTTATTATTATTTGCAGAAGATGGATGGTTATCTTTCCAAAATGAGAGCAAGCACTTGTGTTCTGTGTTACAGACCGAGCACTGCTCGGAGTTGTTCCTTTTTGTTTTCCCATGTATTTCTTGCCCATCCAAAATGCCTTTCTCTCTTGCTTCCTTCACTAGAGTGCTTCCAAGAGGGCGAGCAGCTTCCTGAGGTCCTTCAAGTGCGGCTGATCCATCTCTTCGGCGCCATCGTCTCCGGAGCCAAGGCAAGCTTTACTCTCTGTGAAATCTCAGGCTCTGCCCAGGAAGTAGAGACTCTCTGCTGGTGGTGCAGTTATGCTAGGGTTACCAGACGTCCCCGGTTCCAGGGGACAGTCCCCGGATTTGCAGATCTGTCCCCGGACAAATTCCGTCCCCGGAATGTCCCCAGATTTGCAAATCTGTCCCCAGCAAATGTGGCAGCGGCAGCCTCAGCAGCCCGGAGCCAGCCTGGTAGCGCAGTTGGCTCTGGCTGGCTTCAGGAGCTGCTCGCTGCCGCCGCCACTGCCGATGGGGAACCGGGGACGTCCGGCGGTACAGATCTCCTGCCCGCTTCCCCCTTTGTTTTGACAGATCAGGGGAGGCTTGGGAGTCACGGGTGGGCGGGTGTTGCCCAGGAGGGGCACAAGGCGCACGGTTTCTCCGCCAGGCAAGGTGCAAAGCCCTTCTTTTGCACCCTGTGAAACATACCGGTAAATGCACAGAGTTTTTTAAAACAACTGGGCAATAGCCTCCCGCCTGTGACTCCCGAGCCTCCCCTGATCAGTCAAAACAAAGGGGGAAGGGGGCAGGAGATCAGGGGAGACTCAGGAGTCGCAGGCAGGCGGCGCGCTGTTGCCCAGTTTTTAAAAAACTCCCGGTACCTGTAAATAAATATTGCAAATCCAGTGGTACCTCAGAAGTCGAACGGAATCTGTTCCAGAAGTCTGTCCGACTTCCAAAATGTTTGGACACCAAGCCGCCGCTTCCGATTGGCTGCAGGAAGCTCCTGCAGCCAGTAGGAAGACGCATAAGCCACATCGGACATTTGGATCCCAAAGAACGTTCGCAAACCAGAACACTTACTTCTGGGTTTGTGGCATTCGGGAGCTTTCTGAGGTTTAAACAAATACTACATATTTGGAAAGGAAAATACCACAATAATTGCCGATACATAGAGCGCAGGGTGGAGCCAACAAAAATGTCAATCTTAATTCCCCTGCTTTCTTTCCATAGAGATACAATAATGATAAAATATGTTGTATCCTCTTGACTGTATTTTCATGTCGCCCATCCTTTAGCACGGAGCTTTCCAAACTGTGTGTCACGACACGTTAGTGTGTCGGGCGAATGCTCCCCATGCCCCCCCCTCCCAGGGCTGGAAAGGGGCTAGTTTAACCTATGGTTTGCTTATAAAACGGGACACGGGTGGCGCTGTGGGTTAAACCACTGAGCCTCTTGGGCTTGCCGATCAGAAGGTCGGCGGTTCGAATCCCCGTGACGGGGTGAGCTCCCGTTGCTCGGTCCCTGCTCCTGCCAACCTAGCAGTTCGAAAGCACGTCAAAGTGCAAGTAGATAAATACCGTATTTTTCGCCCCATAGGGCGCACCGGCCCATAAGGCGCACCTAGTTTTTTGGGGGGAGAAATAAAGAAAAAAAAATTATTTCCCCCCCAAGGTGCGAGGCTGGGGCAGGGGAAGCCCGAGCTTCCCCCGACCCCAGCCCCCAGAACAGGCTGCTCTCCGCAAGCCGTGGGAGCCCTCCCGCGGCTTGCGCAGAGCTACCCGAAGCCCCGGCGCGGCTGCTCAGCGAGCCGGGGCTTCGGGGTGCAGGCAGCTCTGCCCAAGCCGTGGGAGCCCGGGGGAACTCCTGCGGGCTCCCACAGCTTGCGGATAGCTCCTGAAGCCTGGAGAGGGAGAGGGGTCGGTGCACACCGACCCCTCTCGCTCCCCAGGCTTCAGCGAAAGCCTGCATTCGCCCCATAGGACGCACACACATTTCCCCTTCATTTTTGGAGGGGAAAAAGTGCGTCCTATAGGGCAAAAAATACGGTAGGTACCGCTCCGGCGGGAAGGTAAACGGCGTTTCCGTGCGCTGCTCTGGTTCGCCAGAAGCGGCTTAGTCATGCTGGCCGCATGACCCGGAAGCTGTACGCCGGCTCCCTCGGCCAATAAAGCGAGATGAGCGCCACAACCCCAGAGTCGGCCACGACTGGACCTAATGGTCAGGGGTCCCTTTACCTTTAGCTTATAAAACTGAATTACCGAAATGACGTGTGTCTAAAAAGTGTGTCGGCACCATGAAGACATGAATACCTATCCAAGATGGCGGCGCGTGCAGATGCTGCAGCGGAGAGCTCTCTAGAGGGGAGTCAGGGTTTGTTAGGTCAGAGTTTTTAGAGGTTTTTGAATGTCTTATGTAGATTTTCCAATTTCATTGTTCTGTATGGGACACTGACAATAAAGATATCGTATCGTAAAAGTTTGGAAAGCTCTGCTTTGGCACAATGCGAAATACTTCAGCGCAACCTTTCTCAAGTGCAGGCTTTGAAAGCTGGTCTTGCTTGCTCTTCTCAACAGCAAAACGCTCTCCTGGTGGTCACCCCGTCCTCAGTCGAGGTCCTCATGCTGGTGCTTCGGAGGTGGAGTTCCCCGGTCAGCGGGCCCCCCAGGGACTCCAAACTGCTGCAGTTGACCCTGAAGGGCTTGGTCGGAATGGTCCACGTTCTCCACGCCAGTAGCCCCGACCAGCGCCAAGTCGAGATCCGAGCCATCTTAGACAGCTACTTCAAGGTTTTGAACTCGGACCAGCCCATGGCGTCGCTGGAAGGCTCTCCCGGCCCTCACTGGGAGGAGAGGCTCATCGCGCTCAGGGTGAACATGTTGGGTAGGTGCTGGATTCTCTTAAATAGGGCTACGTTTAAAACTTGCCATTGAGGTTTCATTGTTGTTGTTGTTGTTTAGTCGTGTCCGACTCTTTGTGACCCCCTGGACCAGAGCACGCCAGGCACTCCTGTCTTCCACTGCCTCCCGCAGTTTGGTCAAACTCACGCTGGTAGCTTCGAGAACACTGTCCAACCATCTTGTCCTCTGTCGTCCCCTTCTCCTTGTGCCCTCCATCTTTCCCAACATCAGGGTATTTTCCGGGGAGTCTTCTATTCTCATGAGGTGGCCAAAGTCCTGGAGCCTCAGCTTCAGGATCCGCCCTTCCAGTGAGCCCTCAGGGCTGATTTCCTTCAGAATGGATCAGTTTCATCTTCTTGCAGTCCATGGGACTCTCAAGAGTCTCCTCCAGCACCATAATTCAAAAGCATCAGTTCTTCAGCGATCAGCCTTCTTTATGGTCCAGCTCTCACTTCCATACATCACTACTGGGAAAACCATAGCTTTAACTCTACGGACCTTTGTTGGCAAGGTGATGTCTCTGCTTTTTAAGATTCTGTCTAGGTTTCATACCTTTCTTTAACATCAGCAGCCGGGAGTGCCTCAGCCCTGTTTTTGAGTTTGCTTGAAACTTCGAACCTCAATTACTTATTACTACTGCTTGGTTCTCTTAAATAGGGCTATGTTTAAAACATTTTGAGTTTCTGCCCTGTTTTTTGAGTTTGCTTGAAACTTTAAAACCTCAACTTCTTATCACTACTGCTGGATTCTCTTAAATAGGGCTATGTTTAAAACTTGTCATTGAGGTTTTCATACCTTCTTTGTAAACTCGAGGAAGCATTTTCAGCCCTGCTCTTGAGCTTGTTTGATAT